AGTTTAAATTACATTTTTGCCCTTAAAATTCAAAAGAATAAGTTAAAAAATAGGTGTATTTTAGTAAAAAAAAAGTTTCACAAGCTCATTAATAATAGTAACATGGATATAGATATGTTCATTTTTTCTACAATTTTTTATGGGTTCGACTATGATGTTGGAAAGACACGATACCGGTAGAACTTATAACCTATCAATTAGTATCACCATAGTGGTAACCAATCAGGTGGGTATTCATCAAAATTTATGGGGAAGGGGTTGATCATTAAAACTTTTTCAGTATGATGTCTTTTTGGCATCATAGATTTTTTTCCTTTTTTATTTTCTATTTGTATAAAAATAATTCGTATTTATCACATTTATTTATGTTTAATATGGTAAATTTACAATATAAGAGATGTATGCAAATGTTTTTTGCAAAATTTATGTATCATTTCATATATTTTTTAAATTTTTATTATTTAATTATAAAGTCAAAGGTTGCATTTGATCCAAAAGTTGAACTGTTGGCCTGCCACCAAACAAGAAAACTTTTCATTTTTTGGTTAGTTTTCAATTTTTTATTTCATTTCCATCATCATTAAAAAATTATTGTTTATCACACTTATTTTTTATTAATGTTATTATTATAAAATTTCATAGAAGTGCTCAATTTTGTCTATACTTTTTATCATGAACTATTTTTATTTGATATAGATGGTTGAATTGCTTACCCACCTCCTAGCTAAAAGAATGGTTTCATATTTGGGTTAGTTTTAGAAAAACTGTAGGTTTTATATTATTAAAGTATTTGACTATATCTAATTAGAAGAATTTATTATTGAGAAATAACACCTTAAATATATGATTTACATATAGAGAATGGGAGACGATACCTTGAATATAAGGCTTAATGAGAGAACATTAAATGAGGTATAAAGTAGCAATTCAAAATGCATTTTTCAACAATCACAATTAGAAAGCGACTAAATTCAAGAATAAGGGTAATTTAGTTAAGAAGAATATATCTTGATGGGAAAAAGACACACCCACACACACAAATCACTGAATAATAAGTATTAGGTGAGAGAGATCACTGAATAATAAGTATTAGGTAAGTGTTTAGATTTGGATTTGTTCAAACCATCCAAGTCCAATGAATTGATTTAATTAGACAATAGCCACCTTGCATTAGATTGTATTTGAACATCTTGGATCTTATTACTGTTGAATTCGAATTGGATTGGTCATCTGGTCCTTTGATAGGTCTACTTCAAATGGTGTAAGACCTATATAAATGATAATTAACCTTTGTAATTAAAATGTTCAACTCAAAAAAAGACTCACCCTAAAGACTCTCAATATGCTAATTGATGTGTGTCCAATTCTTTTGAATAAATGGAATGTTAGTTACAAATTAAACCTAATTTAATTCTCTAAGGGTTTGTTGTCAGTTCAAAAAACAAATCAGAACCTAATTTGAAAACAGATTGTTTCCTAAAACAAAATCACAAAAAAAAAAACATGTTTTAGATTGTGTGTGCTTTTTTGTTTTTAAAACTGAAACCAAAAACATGTTCTTGAATCTAGTTTTAAAAACATGTTTTCATCTGATTATTTAATATCATATTCCATAAATCATATAATTTCTATACTGGAAGATTTGTTTTTGTTTTAAAATCCATTATTTTGTTGGTTTTGAAAACATATATTGTTTTTTGAAACAAAACCAACTTATTTTTCCCTTTGAAAACAAAAGAAAAGTTTAAGAACATGTTTTTGTTTATTTGCTGATGTGGCGATTCCAAAAACAAATGAAAACAAAAACATTCATGTTGTAGAAGGCCCCCTAAATTAAATAAAAAACAAGCCCAAATTTACAACATGAAGTAGATATGTAACAAAATGATAACTGTAGTTTCCTGTACTTAGTACGTGGCTGTCATTATGTAATTACCAGTCAAGCCATTTAAGCAAGTCCAAACAGCCCAAGAATCCTTCTAAGCACAATTAGATGCTTAGAAGGCCATTTTCCCCTTTTATGCTAAAATGTTAAAAAAATGACGATTTCGAGCTCAAGTTCAAGCCTCATGGCTTTTTGATGAGTCGAGCTTGAATAGCTAAATATTCAGATCAGTTTGACTCGAATCCACCCCTAATTGTCACACACAACCCCCTTATATTGGTATACGTGCCACTTTATAATTCGGATCCCACTTGATGACCTCAACAACCATAAAAATGAGAGGTGAGGTTTTCCTCTATGATTCTCACGGGCTAGTGTAACCCTTACATCCTCAATTCATAGAGCAGTTCCAACTTAAAAAAAAAATAAAAAAACCTGTCCATGGTGGGGTATACATCTTTTCTTCCCAAAAAAAAAAATCACAGAGAAAAAAGAATTTCTCTAAAGAACATACGTAAAACAAAAATTCACCAAAATATGGAGGATGGAGATTGATTAACAGGGAACATTGTTTCTTTTATCCCTTCGGTTGTGTTTGTGACAATTCATGAAAGCATAAACTGACCTTAGTCTTAAAGGTATTGTTGGAGGGATATTCAAATTTTCAAGAATTTCTCCTCCCTCCCTTGTACTTTTGAGTTTTTGTTTTTTTCTCTTCCCTTTGTTGAATGCATCAGAAGACTCTTTGTCCCATATTGCTTGGAAAAAGAGTAGAGGTGGATTATATCTATAGTTTTGCTCTCTCTATGGGTAAGAACACATAGGAGGAAAGCACTATAGATATTCTTATGCATGTGAGGGGGGTTGAGGGTGTTTTTCACATGCACGCCGAGTTGGGCTGGGCCAGGTGTGAGTGTGTGCGCGCACTACACTGAATTGGTTTTGTTTTTTACCGAATTGATCTTTTGACTTTTAATTTTCAAATTTAATTTTGAACGTTTTTTTCTCCATTTTCGTGTCTCTTCGAACACTCTATAAAAGAAGTGTTGGTCGACCCAGAATCACACACCAAAACACATTCAATAGTCTTATCTTCTTTGTTTTCTCTATCAATCTGAGCATTATTCTTTGTGGCCTGTGGATTGTTTTATCTTGGCGACCGATTTGCAATCACCCGACTGCACCATAGGGGGCAAATGCGATTTTAAGGAGAGTGACCAAGTGGCACGACTCAGCCCTCATTCTTTCTACAAGTTCTCAGTTTTACAGTTCTGCAACACTATACTCCTATAAGTTCTTGGTTTAGAAATCGATTACCAATAAATTACATTCCGCCTTCTTTAATATTTTTTGACACATTTGGCATTGTTTATTTTAAGGAAAAGATGTCCCTATAGACGTAGAGTTTTTAACTGCAAAGAGAGAGATAAATCCTTAAAATAAAGAATGCCAAATGCAGCCTTTGATCCCATAGACCTAGTGGCTTGTCCATGCTGATGTTGTAATTGTTTCTAAACAGCAACCATGAGAGAGAAACCCCAAGACAAGATGGTGGGCCATCTAGAGAGAGATTTAGTTTAGATTATCCAATTAAAAAGCAGTATTTTTATAAGCCCAATTGAGACACGATCGACCACAACTCCATCCCCAAATAATTAAAAAAAAAAAAACCACCAAATGCTTGTTATCTGTCCCCTCGTTCACATGGGTGTGCATACTTAATGAGATGTCCATGAATGAGCTTCTATTTTGGTTTATAAAATCTAAGGTTGTGTTGGGCGTGTCATTTTAGCATGTCTTTCGGTCAGGAAGCTCAAAAGACCAAAAAATAGTCTTTCCATTTGGTATTTGTAGACCGAAAAACATGAAAACAAGCGCATGAAAAGACCAAAAAACCCCGAAAACCAAGAAGCTTTTGGTCTTTCTGCATTAAGACTATCCTTTTCAACTGTTTTTAACAGCCTAATAGATCATAACGTGAACCAAATGATAAGACCCCAAAGATCTACCAAAAAAGACTTGCTGAAGAGCCCCTAAAAATAGTTTTTTCAATAACATAAACAACAATTGTTGCCTTGGGTCATCCATGAACATCTGATCTGAACCCGGACTTCATCATATGGACTTTAAGTCCACAACCAGATGTGAGATGGATCATGGATGGTTTCAGAACCCGACCCTGAAAATATCCAAAACAAAAATTCGAAATATAAATCACATTAATATGTGTTGGTGGGTAATCAAAAATAGACCCAAATGGGTCTGTTTCTAACCGGGTCTAAACTCATATGGGTAATCCATTTCATATTTCCATCCCTATGCTGGATCCCTGCCAATGAATCAGCAGTTCACTACCAGAACCCTCCTGGGTGGGGGGGAGGTCACATGTAGTCTTATCATGTCTATACTCTATTCCCCACCCCAACCCCTAAGTACTCCAAATCCATGTATCCTCCTCTAAAGGGCACAACAACCTTATCAGAAGGCAAGAAATTACTCTCCACAGCAATTATGTGATCACAATTTCACGGGCATTTCATATTCAATTTCTCACATAAAGATGGCAAAAAACAAGAACCAATCCCCTCTGCAGAGTCAACTCACAACCCTACCACATTATTATAACTGGAAGTAGCTAAAGGAGTTAATGCCAGTACCCAACCTCCACCCACCTTAATATTTTGGTTGGCTGAGATAGTCATTGATAACAACACACCTATTTATTGTAATTCAACGCAATGCACATCACCCCACCTAAAAAAGAAATATTAAGTCTTTTAAGAAAAAAAAAACACAATGCACATCACTTGCATTCTTTATTGCTCCATCCCAACCAGAAAAGAAATATTACACAAATGCAAGCCCATTCTTACTAATACATAATTAGTCAAGTCAGCAGACAACTAGTCCAAATGGAGTACTGAGTAGCCATTAATTCATCAACATAAACAAATGTGAAAACTGAAACTCATACAGTCATACTAAAGCACCACCAGAAGAGTGAGAATATTTTATTTTATTGTAAAGAAGTTAAGTCTCACTAAGAAAAACCATGGTATCTCATAAGCCAATGTGGTAGTACTGGTGAGTGGTGGTAACAGTTGAAAGTAGACAGTGGAGAAACACTAGAGTGCAATATAAATAATAATAAACAAATAACCAAGAACAGATATTCCTTTCCATTTCACAAGCCCAACAAAATCACTGAATTACAGCCCCTAAAATAATAAACCAAGAAAAAGGAAATGGGGGAAAAGGTAGGAAAGAGCAAGAAAGAAGGGGGGGAGAAGAGAGGAGAAGGGCTAGAGATTGCATCCAAAGCAATTACAGGTTTTGGGTGTAAAGGAGCAAAAGCCAAAGGGCCTGTTTGGTATGTTGCAGTTGATGGCGTAACAGCAAGGAGAGGGCAAACACAGTCCTCTAGGCCCCCCACAGCAAGTACAGAGTGCGCATATCTGGAAACTCCCCAACCGCCGGCGGGTCTCGTTCAACACCATCGTCTTTACCGTCCCCGGCTCGATCAACGGCACCATTTCAGCTGCTGCCGTGTTGTTCTGGTCCAAACCCTTTTGATATCTCAAAGCAACAGAGACATCCAGTCACAAATCAAGTAAGAAAAAACAGCTGGCAACATGAATAAAATCAAAACCCAGAAAGGAAAAAAGTATCAAATTGAAGATCAGAAGTGTTTGCGAGACTCACATGTACAGACATTCCTTGGTTGAGAGTAATAATGGTGGCGGAAAACAGTAGAAACAAGTAAGAGAATACAACTCCAAAGCCAGACATCTCTTCGTCTGTACTTAGCTTTGGATGGGAAGAGGAGTGGATGAATTTCACCCAAGCCAAGATGGGATTTTTGTTCAAAGGGGATTCAATATGACGGAGAAAATCTTTAATGGGAAAAATGGTGGGAGTGGAGAGCTCTGAGGATCTCAAATGGGGGATCTGGTTCTGGGTGGTGTTGTGTTTGGCGGAGTGGAGTTAGTTGAAGAAGAGCGAAGGAGGGTTTGGACTTTCAGAGTGGCGTTTTTTTTCTCTTCCCACCGTCAATTGAGAAATCATGGGAAATTAAATAAATAAAACAAGTTTTGTGTAATAAGGGAGAGTTGAAAGGACCAAAATAGCCTTCTTTGAATAGAAAATTTTCTAATCATATTTGAGTTAAATCACAATAAATGAAATGTGATCAACGGTGGGTGTCTGTCCCTAACCTTCTTCTGCTTGATCTTATTTTTTCGGGTAAATTAGAGACTGCTATCCTATACTTAGGGCCAGTGACACTTAACCCCCTTACACTTTCATTTGTGATAAACATCCACCCTAAACTTTTAGATTTTAGCACTTTGCCCCTATTCATTAATGGTAGACCTGACAAAAATTGATCCAACCTGCGTGAACCCAACCCCGACCCAACCTGAAAAAAACAGGGTTAGGTTGAGTTGGGCCATCGATCAACCCACTAACCCGATTATTAGGTCTAATTGGGATTATTTAAGTATATTAGAAGTTTTCACTCTTTAATCTTACCATTTAGTTTTTACTCTTTATTCTTTACTCTTTGAATTGTTAATGTTCAAGATTTTTTATTTTATGTTTGAAATTTTAATGTTAATTCCTTTAATTTTGGCATTTTCATGTATTTTTTATTATTATTTTTTTAAATTTTAGTTATTTTTAAGGATAACGTGATTTGACCTATGGGTTAACTCTAACCCAAATATTTAGGATCTAGCATTTGCTGACCCAATACAAAATTCAACCCAACCCAAAATCAATCCGAAGTGTCTTGACCCGACTCGAACCTGACATACCCAACCCAATTGCTAAGTCTAGTTAATGGGCTTGATGGTAAAAATAAAACTAAAGAAAATGCCCATTTGAATTTCTATATTCCTTTATATATTTTTTTGTCTTATTATTTGTTACTTTGTTGTATTTCCTATATTTTCTACCATTATCTATTTTTCTTTTATTTTTATTATTTTGTTATATTTTATCAATTTCTTTCAATCACACGATAGTAACATGTGAATCTAAAAAGTTAAGGGTGGGTTTTCGTTGTAAATGAAAGCTTGAGGGGGTTAAGTGTCATTACCCTAAAAGTATAGGGTGGCAATCTATAATTTACCCCTTTTATTTTCTTCTTTTACTTTTGAGGGGGTGGTTTTTTATCTAAAAGTGTCTTCACTTTTCCCCACTTCTATTAAATACACCTTGACTTTTCAAAAACTTTAGAGTCCCCCTATCACAAAATTTTTCTCATCTAAAACTTACTTTACATTAAGTCACCATTAATGTCATTAACAAAAGTTGTCCACAAAGACCATTAATTATTGGGTTAATTATTTAAATATATCATGTGGTTTGATTAAAATACTTAAATATACAATATGATTTTCAAAACTACTTACATATACCTTGTAGGAAGGCCCCATTTGACACAAATAGCCCTAGGTTAGTCAAACATTTTAGAGCTATTAATGAGTTTAATAGCTCATGCCTATTAAACCTAGATTAGTCAAACATTTCCTAAAGCTGTATAATCTTGATTCTTACTATATAGGCATGAGTTTGAGCTAAAGAATGAACCAAGGAAAAAAAAAGTGCATTATGATAAGTGTTTGAAGTAGAGAAAGCAAAAAGTAAGAGATAAAAAGAGTGTGAGGACATTTTGAGCCAAAAGAGGTTTAACTTTGTGAGAAAAGTGAAATAGCACTTGTGCTATATTGAATCTCACAAGAAACTTAAATCTCTTCAAGAGCTAAGCCCATTATAATTGTGTATTTTCTTGTATCCATTTAGTTTGATTTGTAATTGCATATCAGCCTTGTAGCGGCATTACATTGTGTTTTATTTGTATATCTTATTGTTCATTGTATTTCATCAGCTAATGGTTCTCTAGTTGAAGTTGTTTAGTTTTCTAGGTTGAACACTGTGTAAGATTAGGATAACACCCGTAAGTGTATCTAGTTGAAAGTTTTGTTGGCACTTGTAAATTCAACTATTGTAAAGGTCTTGTTGGTACCTGAAAGTTCAACTAATGTAAAGGTTTTGCTAGCACCCATAAGTTCATCTGGATAGTGGAAATTCCTAGGTGGTGTCTAGGAGAGAGTGTAGGCCTAGTTTGGCCGTGCCTCTATAAATCTCTTGCATGTTTTTTGGTCCTTTGTAGTTGTTTTGGTTTCACTTGTTAATTTTCATTTGTTATCTTCGTTATTCTATACATTATAATTTTGCTTTTCAATCATACTTGCATTGTGTTCATTTATAAGAGGCATTAGTTTGGGAGAAAAGTTCATAGAGAAGTGCAAGTCCCTAGAATTCTAAGAATTTTTTCAAATAAATTAGCCACCAAAATTCTGATGAATTTTTAAAAGAAAATTGCCCTCAAAATTCTGAGAAATTTTTGAAAGAAATTAACCCCCATAAATAGGTGTAAGTCGATCTCTCCCTTTTATCCCTATATATAGACATATTTCCTAATATAATTAGGACTAATCTAGATCAAATTTGGGTTAGGTCTTTAATTACACCAAGAGAATGGAGGTCCAAATCCATATCCATACCCATATTCAACACATATCACATGACTAGTCTAACATGTCTTATTAGTAATGGGCTAAGGCTCATTTCTTTTAGTAGTTCATGTACATAACAATTACAAGCTTTATTGGGCTTGAATAATGCATGCATAGGACCCACAAAGGTCTCATATCAGCCCACAAGATTCAGCCCAAGTCTAGAAAGACTTAGGCTGAATTCACTACACAAGGGCAATGAACCCTTGAACCAATCGAGTTGGGCTCAATATGGGCCCAACACTTAAGTTTAAGTGATCTTTGGTTTCAACCATCCTATAAAGCCAAAGGATAATGGATTAATATGATATAAAGCCCATCAGGTTTGAGCATGGTCTCTTGCTTTTAACTTCTTAGCCTTAAATAATCAAAACACTACTTATAGGAAAGGACTTATTCTCTGACTGTAAAATGTAGTGTCACACCTTCTACTCAAATGGATTTCGAGATTAAATTTTTTTTCATAAAATAATATGTATAAATATATTTTGCAAAGAGATTTTTAATGCAGTTGAAATCCACTACCGATAGCTTTAGGTTTCTATTGAAGAGAGTATAAATCGTGATATTCATGTCTAACAAAGGGGATGATAATATCACAATGATCACCAATTCAGGTAATATCCTAAATTGCTTCAACATACCCAGGTATTTAATCCTAAGTTGGTCTCATTGGTTGGCATATCAAAAGCAACTTAATGCAAGACCTACTGTGGTATCATTATCAAATCTAGGGTTAAATACAACTTTTTAGTTTTGCCCATTTGTCTCTAAGATTCAGGGCATAATTGGAAATTGATCCGAGTTCAGTGCTTTTTACAGACACCCCTTGGCTATACTTAGGGTCTAACCTTAGCATTTAAGATAAGTTGCTCTACCAATTCGACAGCACATCGATGTGAGCCTTATAAGGATAAACTCTCCAAGTTTATCCAATGGATGAGAACTTTCTAAACTAACACAAGTCTCATAAGGGTTTAGTTTAAGGAGTAATTCACAAAAAAAAAAAAGAAAAGAAACATACTAATCTGAACATAAAAATAATAATGTACTAATATTATTAATATATAAAACTCATTGTACATCAATTTAATTACAGCTAAGGGCATACACTATCTAATAGCTCCCACTTGCACTTAGGTCCAATCAAGTACAAGCATCAATCTCATATTGTCCATGTGTCTTTTAAACACTTTTTGTGTTAGTGGCTTAGTTAATGGGTCTACCAAATCACCCATTGACACCACATTTTTAATCAAATGTCTCATCTCCCAATAATCTCTTATAAGATATGATATTTTTCCTCTCGATGTGCTTAGACTTTGAGTGGCTCCTAGTTCTTTGGCTTAAGCAATGGCTCCAATGTTGGCACAAAAGAATATAATGGATGAAATGCTAGAAGGTACAACTCTTAATTCTTAGATGAATTTCTTCATCTAAACTTCTTCCTTAGCAACCTCACTTGTGGTAACGTATTCAGTCTCAGTTATGGAATCTTCTATGGACTCTTATTTGCTACTTCTCTAATTGACAACACAATATCCCAACACGAATATGTAACCAGATGTAGATTTTTTATCATCCAGATCTGATTGAAAATTGGCATCTATATAACCGAGCATTTGTAATGAACTACCATTAAAGATAAGACAATATAGCATTTCATTCTTCTCGGGTATTTTAGTATGTTCTTCACAACTGTTTGGTGTTTTTGTCCTATGTTAGATTGATATCTACTTACAACACTAACAGCTTGTACAATGTCAAGTTGAGTGCACAATATGGCATACATGATGCTCCCTATTATAACGGTATAGAGAACATTTCTCATGTCCTCTATCCCTTCAAGGGTCTTAGATGATATTCTATTGGAGAAAATGATTCTATGTCTGAAAGGAATGAATCCTTTCTTGGAGTCCTACATGTTGAATCTCTTAACTATCTTGTTAATGTAAGTTGATTGTGATAATTCAATTAATTGCTTTAATCTATCTCTATATAATCGAAGTTCCAAGATATAGGAAGCCTTTCCAAGCTCTTTCATGGAGAATTATCATGAAACTTTCACTATTGACAATATTTCTATATCATTTCCAATGAGTAGAATGACATCTACATAAAGCACTAGAAAAGAAACCTTGCCTCCCATTGTCATTCTATAAACATAGGATTCATCCAAATTCTGCTCAAAATCAAACTATTTGATAGTTGAGTATGTTCCAACTTCTTGAAACTTGTTTTGATCCATATATGGATTAATTGAGCTTAAACACCATGTGCTCCTAAGCTTTAACAATGAAGCCTTCAGTTGTTGCATATAGATATATTTAGTAAGATCTCTAATTAGGAATGCAGTATTGGCATCTATTTACCAAATCTCATATAATCATAGTGTACATCTATTTCCAACAATATTCTAATGGATTTTAGCATTGCTACGGGAGAAAATGTTTTTTCGTAATCAATTCTTTTCTTTTAAGTGTAACATTTCACCACAAATTGAGTTTTGGATGTCTAAACCTGTCCATCAAGGCCCTTCTTCCTCTTAAAGATCCACTTGCAATTAATTTCTTTCACCCCAAATGGTGGATTTACAAGAGGCCAGACTCTATTGGTAGTAATTGAGCCCATCTTGTCTTTCATGGCATCCACCCACTTCAAGGAGTGTATGTCTAACATAACTTCTGTATAAAACATGAGATCTTCCTCACCATCTACGGTTCCATCAAATAACTTTTTGATCATAACCAAAATGAACAAGAGATTTGGACATCCGTGTAGATCTTCTAAGCTAGGTGTTGGTATCTAGAGCTTATGGGACATCTCCCACTACATCTGAGCTCTCATCATTAAGAGCAATTTCTAAGAAATGGACATTTCAACTAACAAATATATTTTATTCACTCGAGTCATAGAAGAGGTACCCAATGGAATCCTTAGGGTAGCCTATAAATAAGCAAGGACTGGTAAATTGATGATTAACTTTCTAAAAAGCCAAAATACCCCTCCTTAACAACTATAAAATAGCTATTTTTAAGTCTATTTAGTCAATTGAATTGATTCCAACTCTTATAGATACCCTTACCCTCCCTCATTCTTATTACACCAATTCGCATACTCTCATCTACTTTCCCATACACTCTCATAATCTCATAGTCACTTAATCTCTCACTCCCTAGTCCCTAATTTTTAACTTTATTTAAGTTCAACAAGAAGTCTTCCTCAAGGATCTCAAGTTAGCAATTTGGGAGGCTTAAAAACTTCATCAGTTGAAATCAAGTTGAATTTGCCAATCTCAAGTTAGCAATTTCCATTTTCTTAAGGTTTTAATATCATAAATTTTTAAAAATGGTCAGTCCTCTCAAGATCCCTTTCCCAACATGTTCAACTTCGACGATGTACAGTCACAAATATAACAACACCAATATGGGTGTTTAGTGGTTTCTATGGCTAATGTTGTTGCTAGGGCTACCCTTAGTACTATTACTAGGGGAAAGAAAAAGTTTAGGCTAATATGGGAAATGTTTACTATAGAAACCCTTGAAGGAAAGGGAATAAGAGTTGTATGCATTAGATGTAAGATTGATTTTAGTTACAACAAGGGTGGTATTAACCATTTGACTAGACATATGGCTATTCATCTAAAAAATTATGATAATCAAATTCAGCCACAAATTGGGCGTGTTTTTTTGGTAATTTTCAATATTCTTAAGAAAAAAATGAGACAAAATTAGATAAATATATTGTATATGCTGAATAACCATTTTTATTAGTTGAAAACCCTAGGCTGAAAAGATTTTTACAATAATCAATAAACCCCTAATTTAAAAAAGTTTTTAGAAATACAACTAAAGTAGATGCTTTAAATTTTTTATTCATATGAACAAAATTTAATTTCTACTTTGTCAACTCTTAATTCTAAAATTACACTTATATAAGATATTTAGACTTCCAAATATAAGTTGTACTTATGTGATGGGGCATTTTATTAATGAACATTGGCTTTTACAAAAAAAAAAAAGAATTTTAGATTTTACAAGACTTAAGTAGACATATACTGTCCCAACAACTGCTAAAAGTATATTAAATAGTTTATATAATCAAGAAATTAAAAATAGTTTTTATTAGTTTTGATAATGCCAATAATAATGATTCAATAATAAATATTTTAAAATCTTAATTAAAATCATGCTTAAATGGTAAATTATTTTATATCAGATGTGCATGTCACATGTTAAATTTATGTGTTCAAGATGCTTTAAGTATTATTTCTCCTCATATTTTTAAAATAAAAAATTGCATTATATATTAAAAGTCTTGGTGCAAGAAAAAAATAATTTAAATATTTATGTCAAAATTATGGTTTAAAATATAGAAATTTTGCACTAAATGTTTAGCATAGGTGGACTTTCACCTATTTTATATTAGAAACTTGTATTTCATACAAAAACATTCTTACTAATTTTTATAATGAGAATTGAAAATGCCCTATGATTTTATAACTGATGATGACTACGAAATTTCAATCTATATAAAAGATTTTTTTTACAATTTTTTTATGATACAAGCCAATTTCTTGTACTTTAGTTAATCAATTACTTATAATTAGTGATTTTTTTTCCAAAATATAAAAATAATTAAAATTTAAAGTGTTCTTGATGTAGTGGAAGTTAAGTTTAAAAAATATTGGAAAAATATTTATCCTCTATATTGTTTAGCTATAATATTAAATCATAGAATTAGAAAAGACGGTTTAGATCTTTTACTTGAAAATCTTATTATGAAAATATGAGAAGTGAAATTAGAACAAAAAATCAATTGCCACTTCATCATCAAAATCATTTGTTGAACTTAATTTTTAGTTATAAGCTAATTTTACTAATTTAGCATATTCTTTTAACTCTGAGAAATTAAATAATTTTGATATTTTAGCCTAGTGGAATGAACATGAAAAAAATTATCCAACTCTTGCCGCCATGACACATGATTTATTAACCCCTCTAGTGTCTATAATTCCATCCGAGTCGTGTTTTAATGTAGGTACTAGGGTTTTGGACGACAAGAAAAGTTACATGAATGATGAAATTTTAGAGATGTATATATTTAAAGGATTGGTTCGATGCTAAAAACAAACTACAAAATTAGGGAGGGGAAGTTTAGATTGTTTTTAGATATTGTCCTTAAAAGGAAGGGAAATTTCAAAGGAAGGCCTGATGATACAACTATGGATCCATTATCTCTTGATATATGATTTGTCATCCCACGGGCTTAAAAATCACAATGACTTTGGTCGCATAAAATGGTCGCATAAAAGCTAATAAGAGACTTGTTTGGGGTATTTTTAGAATAAAACAACATTTTAAGAGGTCATGTGACCATTCTTAGACATATACTTAGATGGTTGAATAGGTGAAGCAATTTCAAAGTGGGGGAGCTGTCTTACAATATCAAAACTGAATCTTATTAAATGCATTAAATTATAGTGGCTTATTAAAACACCTTTTTTTGGTAATGAAGTAATAAATCAATCGGGTCACCCATTTCATTTTCTTTTTATTTTTCTTTTGCATTTTTCCCAGATCAAGTCATGCTTTTTACTGTTAATCAAAATCAAACAGCTCCTTAGGTTTCTAGGGTTTGGATATGTTATTGATGGAGGAAGATTTGGCCCGACCTCTTGGCCACTCAACACGTGGAAGCAATCGAGGGTGACCTGGCAGGAGCGACAGCTCGGCACGGCAGTACGCTCAAGACATGAGCTCCGAGAAGAGGAACCCGCGGTCCAAGCTCCCCAAAAGGAGCCCGAACTCTCCCTTTGACCCCGAGCCTTACAAGGAGCGCAAAGGGCAACAACCCGAACTGGCCCACACCAGGGCAGTTCGGGCCACACTTCTATCCGAACTCAAGACTTCACCTCGCACACCACTCCGGCACTTCGTCTCCAGGCCGCCGAACTGAACAACCGTACCTAACACCAAAGGAGTCTGTATCATGAGGTGGCGCGCCTGACTGACTTAGGATCTTACGCTTGACAGCCGCACTTCAACGGCCACCTGCCACCGCCACCTCCAGTTACAGAGACGGCTCTGACAAAGAGAGCAGTGGCGGTTGTCTGCCCCAACAGAGGTGATGACACCCGAACTAGCAGAAGTGCAGAGGTAATGATACACGACCTGACAGGAGCTTGGGAGTGAGTGCGCAAAGAGTTTATAAAAGGACCTCTTCCCCCCAAGAATGGAGGTACGTGATAACTTTGCGCCATCTGGTTTTTTATCTTGCCTTTGAGAAAATACTAACTTGAGCTTCGGAGCACTGGCATCGGGTTCCTTCCCGGAGACTACTCACTTTCTTCCCCATTTCAGGCACCTTTTGCTCCAGTCAGAGGCAAGATCGTTGATAGTTAGGACCGACCGAATTGGTAATGAAGTAATAAGTCAATCGGGTCACCCATTTCATTTTCTTTTTATTTTTCTTTTGCATTTTTCCCCGATGAAGTCATGCTTTTCATTGTTAATCAAAATCAAACAGATCCTTAGGTTTCTAGGGTTAGGGTTTGGATATGCTATAAAAATAAAAATAAAAAATCCATTTGTAATCTAATTTTGATATGAATTCACATTTTTTTTTGTTGATGGCTGAACATCTCCCTTATTTATCTGCTATTGAGGGTAGAGAGAAGACATTTGATGTGGAACAGTTGGTGACTATGAGATGCGGAGTGCCCACATTTGCGCTGATTCAAACCATCGGATGACCTCCAATGACAGAAACAAATCAAAGGGGTGGGACCCAGATTGGGTGACCAGGTCCACCCATTGTTGTACCAGTCACGAAATGAGGGTGGGGAGTAGTAGGAAAATTGCTTTTTGATCCCGTCAACTCCGGGAAGCAATTTCTGGATCTGGTTGCTTTTGCTTGAGCCGTTGAGCGTAGAGAGTAACGCATTGGAAGAGAACGTTCGGGTAGAATGCGCGGGCGAATCGATGCTCGTCCGAACAGGAACGAGTCGGCGTTCACTCGGGCGGTGAACGCGGTGTTCGCCTTCGTCCGCCTGGCCGAGTTCGAAATCCTCTTCTTCCTCTTCCTGGTCATCACCTTCATCGTATTCAAAGATTTGGTCAGCTCTCTCTCTCTCTCACTTGATTTCTCTGATTCATTCTTCAAGGGTTTATTCTATTTCATCCATTCATGATCGATTGAACCCTTTTTTGAATGTAATTGGTTGAATATCCAACGTTTGGCTTACAAGAACAACGGAAATAATCTACGAGTTTAATCCTGAAACCATTTTCTGTCTTTCTGATTAACTTGCAATTTATTCCGATTATTTTTTGTTGGTTGTATGAATTTTGAGTTGCAAACGTCTGATCATTCACGTATTAGTTAGAATCTGCTTTGAATTGTGCTTGGCTGTCTATGATCCAAACATTGAAATGTCCTGAATAGGAAAAGAATGTTGGGTCTTTCGGCTGCCATGGTTAATTATGTAGCTGATCCAAATAATTGGGATTAACGCTTTATAGCGTTATGTTTGGTTGCTAACTAACCTAGATTTGTAGGTATTCAGGAAACAAGTCATTGACTCGGTTAGTTACGTTGTAAGGGGCTCTAAGATAGCATTGTAACTGGCTGTAAGAGGGCCGGGGTATAGTCTATAGAGCTATTACAAATGGTTATTTGTAGGTTGTATTTTATACCCTGAATGTTATATATGTCTATTGACTTTATTCATAGACTGTCGTTTATGATGCCAGTTTTTAGTGCCATATTGCTACATGGCACCCATGGTATTGTAAAAAACATGGCAAAAGGAGCAGCTCAGTGGACAAGGCTCCCGCGTATGCAGGGTCTGGGGAGGGATGCCGGGTGCGTGCTATTTGTAAGTTAATGCAAATAAAGCCATGTGAAAGTGTGTTGAGTTTGGTTACACTGTAAAGGACCGTAAGGTGCTCTTGAATGGAGTAGATATGTGAAAACATCAAAATAGTTGCAATTGTTCAAGCATATTATGAGTGTTATAGTTTTTATTTATTTTATTTTTTTGATAAATATGAGTGTTATAGTTATCTAGGAGGGTTTGGGTTGTCAACAGATTAACTCACTTAGCTTAGCTTGAGTGGCTTTTTTGGGTTTGGTTTTATAGCTTATAAAATAGAAGCACTTGAGTTGAGGTACTTGGATTTGGGTGAAGGTCTTTCCAGGCTCCCCAGAAGATGGCATCGTGCGGAATCTCTACAGGATTGCGGTTGTCGTTGCCGGCTATGAAACATATCTCCTAGCCTCGTGTTTCTTGGGGTACATATATCAATGTTTTGATACTCTGGTCAAAGAGTTATCATTCAGCGGGCCAGCAGCCCATATCTTGTTTTATAAATAGTAGTTTTGTACTTTAGTTTTTATGTTTCCTTGCAAGCACTTCCCTCAATTGGGAATTTCTTCTACAAGGTTGCAGCCTTGCTAGGTGGCCATTCAAGTTGATGGCCAAATGGTTGTACAGAGATTTTGTCATAGCCATAGTTGGAGGTGGGTCAACTGTAAAGACAGCAAGCTGTTGATTGCTGATGCCCTGCTATAGTTAATAGGTGATTGTTCAGCATTTGTTTCCTGTCCCTACATGGCTACGGTGGACAGGAAATGATAAGTTACCTTCATAGGCAATAAGAATGACAAGGTGGGCACCTTATTATAATAATAAGTTGAAAATAAACCAGCAATAAATCTGTGTTTATGTTAGAGAAAAGAGAAAAAGAGAAGAAAGAAAAGAAAGTTCAGAAGGAAGAAGAAGGTGGGAAGAAGTGGGAGAAAGAAGAGAGCTAATCAATCCTCTCTTCAGTTCCCTAAATGCTTTTATTAAAGCTGGTTGTAATTCAGGTATAATTACAAAGGTGCCCTCAGTGGAGCGACTAGCTCAATAAAGATAATAAAAAGAGAACAAAAACTGGCCCATAACTAAGGCCTACTAACTAAACATAACACATTATTAACAACACAAATAAAATAAAAAGATTAAGGCCCATTCGACCCATCATCTCTACACTCCCCCTCAAGTTGAGCATAGATATCAATAATACCCAGCTTGCTTACATAGTGCTATTTAGGGACACCCTTAGTCAAAACATTTGCTAACTATTCCTTTGAGGCAACGAAAGGACGACAAACTATTCTTGATGCCACTCTTTCTTTTATGAAATGTTTGTCTACTTGAATGTGCTTTGTTCTATCATGTTGAACTAGGCAATGAGTAATGATGATAGCTGTCTGATTATCACAGTACAACTTCAAGGGCTTATGATAAGTAATACCCATTTCTTCTAGAAGAGACCTAAGCCACAACAACTCTTAAACCCCATGGTCCATGGAGCTATATTCTGCCTCAGCTGAGGATTTGGCTGCTGCAAATTGCTTTTTACTTCTCTATGAGACTATTTTCTGCTACCATAGCATAGTAATTGGACATGGATCTCGTCATCTATACTGCTAGCCAATCATCATCTATATAAGCTTTTAACTTGATATGTCTATGCTTAGCAAAGAGGATGCCCTTTCCCGAGTCCCCTTTTAAGTAGCAAAAAACCCTTTCTACAATCACCATATGTGTGTCTCTGGGAGTATGCATAGATTGATTGATATCACTGCATATGAAATGTCTATCTGTTTTATACAAAGATATAACAACTTCCTCAAAAGCCTCTAGAACACTCCCCTGTAGGCCAAGGGCTCACCATCATTAGCAGAGAGCCTATGATTTTCATCACTAAGTGTAGACGTAGTCTTGGCATCTTGTTTTCATGTCTTATCTCAATTCCCCTAGATCCTTAATCTCAAACTCTGAGTTAAGGAACCTTTTGAGGGCCTAAACTTCTTGTGTGTCACCACTAGTTACAACAACATCATTGACGTACACAATGAGAAAGATGACCCTAGACTCTCTCCTCTTCACAAATAGGGAATGATTTGATTGTTTGAGTTTAACCAAACTGTATAAGGGCAGCCCAGAATCTATCAAACCATGCTTGTGGAGATTGTTTGAGACCATAGGGTGATTTCTTCAGTTCACACATCTTGCCTTTCATCTCTTCACCATTCATGCCTTTAGGAAGTGACATATACACTCCTTCAATTAGATCACCATTTAAGAAAACTTTCTTGACATCAAATTGATATAAGGTCCAATCATAATTCACTGCCAAAGATAGGAGAACCTGTATAGGAGTTATCTTTTCCATGAAAAATCTTCATATAATCTATCCCATACACCTATATATAGCTCTTGACAACCAAGCAAGCCTTATACCTTCAATCGTCTTATCAATGTTTAAATATACCCACTTACACCCTACAAGTGCCTTCCCAATAGGTAAGTCTACAATATCCCATGTATTGTTCTTATGAAGTGCCTCTATCTTAGTCTTCATAATGTTCTTCCATTTTAGTTTAGGTAAGGCTTCTGTTATAGACTTGGGAATGGGTTGAGACTAGATAGAGGCTAAGAAGGAATAATAGAAGGGGACAATAGGTTGTAGGAAAGGTGTTTAGAAATGTAGTGAGTTGTACATTTCCTCTTACCCTTTCTCACAATAATAGGTAGGTTGAGGTTTGGGAAGGGAGGTACTAGAGCAGGGGGTGTGGGGACTATCCTCTCTTTAGGAGTTGGAAGTGCCTGAGACTCAACTGAGGATGGGGGAACAACTTGTTCATGCCTTAGCCTTTGCCTTTGGTACCACCTTTGGACAATGGGATTAGTAGTGAAAACTAGGGGATAAGCAAGTTGAGGAAGGGAGTAGGAATAGGTGAGATGGGAGGACAAGGTTCAACAAGAACAAAAGAAACCACAAAAGGATCAACACAAGATTCAATAGGAATTGTCAAAGGAAGTGGAGAAGCAAACAACTCAATGGAGCACTTCCCCTCAGAAGAATGATCATAAAAGAGATCTGATTTATCAAAAGTGACATCCATAGAAACAAACCAAGTGCCACTATTGTGATCAAAACAATAGTAACCCTTCTATGTGGAGGCATAACCAAGGAAAATACATTTCCGAGCTTTGGGTTGAAATTTGTGTCTCTAAGAGCTAAGAATATGAACGCAATAGGTACTACCAAAACCCAAGAAGGGAGACTTGAACCCCAAAACCCAAAAAGGCATGCGGTTAATGAGATAGGTAGTTGTCATAATGACATCACCCCAAAATTTTATAGGAACTTGGGAGCTAAAAAGGGTACTCCTTGCTACTTCCACAACATGGTGATTTTCTCCCTCTACTACATTTTTGTTTTTGGTACAAGCACAAGAACTTTGATGAATAACCCCAAAATTCTCAAGGTAAGAAGAAAGGTACTTCTCAAAATATTCCTTATCATTATCTGAGCAAAATATTTTGATGCAGGTGTCAAACTGTGTGAGTACAGATTTATGGAAATGTTTTACAAGTTTGGGTACTTTAGCATGAGAACACATAATATAAAGGCAAGTATAATGGGAGAAATAATCAATAAACAAAAAAAAGTATTTATAGCCACCTTTGCAAGGTAAATGGTAAGGCCCCCTCACATAAGAAAGAACAATATGAAAAGTAGTTCTTTTATTGCTTATTGGATAAGAGTTTCTACAATGCGTTGATAATTCACAAGACTCACAATGTAAATTGGAAAAATTCATTCTTTGAAATGATACTAGAAACAAGAAACTCAATGAAGAAAATGAAAGATGATTAAAACAATAATGACACATCGTGACTCTACTAACTGACTCTGAAACATGTGACTCGAAGGTAGCTTTTTGAGGTGGTACATGACTTTGCTTGGGCATGTCTAGCAGGTATATCCCATTCACCTCATGGAAATTCCCAATCACTTTCTAAGACTTCATGTCTTGAAAAACACAATATGAAGGGAGAAAGGTTACAATACAATTCAAAGATTGTTAGGTTACTAATTGAGAGGAGGTTAGTATTAAGCTTAAGTACATGAAGAATTGAAGATAAAGTAAGGGATTTTGAGGCCCTGAAGTCTACCTTGCCTAAGATAGGAGTAAGAGAGCCATCAATAGGGAAAATTTTGTCTTGACCAGATAAAAAATAATATGTAGTAAATAAATGTGGCATATTGGTCATAT